CACCTGCTGCCCTTACAGCTGTTCCAGTCAAAGACCAGCGCCATCAGGGCTGCGTTGTAGCTGAAGTTTTCTCTGGTCCTGCCCAGCCCCACGGATCCCACAGCCACTTATAAAATAATCACTCAGAAGCTTATAATAATTAAAACCGCATGGCCATGGCTCAAGCCTTTTGCCAGCTAGCTCTTATATCTTAAATTAGCCCATAACTATTAATCTATGTATGGCTACATGTTCCGTGGCTTTACCTGCATCCCATTACATGTTGCTCCTTGGGCAGCTCGCTGGCATCTCCTCCTTCCTGTCTCTCTCTTTGAATTTTCCACCTGCTTCTAAAGCCATAGGCCAAATGGCTTTATTTATCAACCAATCAGAGCAACACATATTCTCAGCATTCCATATCCCTTCCCCTTTACTGTCTAATCAAAAAGGACATTTCTAACTTTAACATTCCTATACTTCCTGCTTGGCTACTGGCCAATCAGCATTTTATTTATCAACCAATCAGAGCAACACATATTCACAGTGTACAGAAAGACATTCTTCCATCACTTCCCCTTTTCAGTCTAAATAAAAAGAAGGTCTTAACTTTAACTATTAAAATTACATATAGCAAAACAGTTACCAAGCCAGAATTACTGTACAATATCTAGTCTATTTATATTTGGCAAATTCAAAGAAAATATTCTATTTATCCTATATTTGTGAGTCTAAAGTTTCATATCTAACTTATCTTTTATCATGACTAAGGAAAACTATAATTATAACTGTCTAGTCTTCAACTACATCAAAGATCCCAGAAGGATATAATATTACCTAAGTAAACTGGAAGAGCATTGTAAGCAACTTCCAAAAATCTGGAATGACAGAGACAGCTGGCTGCCTGGACAGTCACTCAAAGTTCTTCTGCCAATTTGGGGCATTCATTTTTTAGCCTACAGGCCTAGAGTCTCTCAGTCACTTCTCTCTGTGTCCTGTAGAATGTCTGGCATTTTCTTCTGTGAAGCACAAACCTGAAGGACCATGTTGCCTTGCAAATTTCAGTGGTCACCTTCCTATGGGTCCTGCATGTCTAATAGATACAACATTTTGTCAAGCAGTCCAGGCAAGAACAGTTTCTTGCTCAAATGGCTACTTTTGCCAAGAAGAAGATAAACTCCATACGAAGTGTCTTTGATGCCCATCTTTCTCTTTGAAGTAAATCGGTGCTGCCAGGAGCAGACATATCTCACTGTCCAGAAAGTCTAAGTTTTTAAAACATTTTAAATGCCATATTCTGTAGGTCTTTGAAGTGTTTGAAGATTACCTACCTAATTGAATTATATCTATGTGTACCTTAACTAAAATGACTATAAGTTTGATTATCATAGATGACTAATTATTAGTATGTATTTCTGAACTATACATTACAATTTCAAATGAGTTACACAAAGTACTTTATACAAGAGTGGAAATATACATACAATATAACAAAATTAACCTCAAATTTGTATCAATAAACTAAAATCTATACCAATGTAAAACATTTTAAACAAGTTGCTCTTTAAAAGTAGGTTCAATAATCCACCCTTTTAACCTATCATATCTATATCCTATATTTCTGTATTACTAAGTAGACAAGTTGTGTGATGCCATGCGATGAATCACCATGTCAGGTTGGCTATTGAGTGTCTCACAATGTTAGATGCTCTCTGATGGGTGTTGACATCCAGACACAAAATATACAAGCTTTATGGGTAATCCTGGCCTCTTCCACACATTTCTCTCCTCTCCTCTCCTCTCCTCTCCTCTCCTCTCCTCTCCTCTCCTCTCCTCTCCTCTCCTCTTTCTCCTCTTCTCTCCCCTTCTCTCCTCTCCTCTCCTCTCTCTCCTCTCCTCTCCCCTCCTCTCCCCTCCTCTCCTCTCTTCTCTCTCTCTGTGATATATGCACACATATGTGTGCAAGTGTGTGTGGATGCACTCTCCTGTGCATGCACATATAGAGGCCAAAGGTTGACTCCTGGATATCTTCCTCTATTACTCTCCACATTATTTTTTTGAGACAGGTTCTCTCACTGAACCTAGAGTTTGATGTTCTGGCTGGGCTGGTCAGCCAGCGAGTCCTTTGGGGATCCTCCAGTCTGCATCCTCTCCCTCATCCCAGCACTGGAGTTGTAAGTACACACGGCTGTGCCTGGCTTTGGCATGGGTTCTAGGCATCTGAGCTCAGGTCCTCATTCCCATACAGCATCACTTTGTCCACTGAGCCATATCTGTAGCTGTTCATCAGAGCCAGACAGAGAGGAAGGTGGGTATATGTGGGGAGCGGGTGTTTCAGGTTGTCAATGTCATCACTGGAATGAGCAATCTCTGTGATGTATGGTTAAATGGAAACCCAAAAGCTCTTCACAGCAGCTTACGTATTTCTTGAAGAAATGTATATTGCCAGGCATGATGGCACTTGCCTAGAATTTCTTCTACTTCGAAGGCTGAGGCAGGAGGATAGTGTGTTTAAGGGCAGACTGGGCAACACAGCTTGTCAGAAAAAAATAAAACTAAGAAAGAACAGCCTAAAACATCGTGAGTGCCTACCATGTGCCAAGTATAGCTAGGTGAAGGGATATAATGGTGAATAAGTTAAACATGGTCTTTGTCATATGAAATGATCAAACACTAACTCAGTCTGATCTCATTGACATTAATGATAACACCTCTATGTTCATATGCTATTGTGTGCACGCTTCCTTATTTAGTACCTCTTTCCCAGATACTTATCCAACAAATATTGTATATGGGCCTTAATAAACACCAGCACTCAGTTAAGCTCTCTGAAAGCCTTATTCGGTTGGCATTATTACCATCTTCTACACCTTACAGATAAAGACACCAGACTAAGAGACATTAAATAATTTGTTCAGAGTTACAGTTAGTGAAAAGAGGAGTTAGGACTTGACCCAGATTGGTCTGACTCCCGAACACATATCCTTAACTAATACTATGAGCTCAAGAAATCGGGACAAGTTCATCTAATTCTCTACTGCTAATGGTGATGTCATGCTCCATATTGTTACTTTACAGCCCCAAGCACACAACATAGACTACACAGACACAGATAAACACAAACTGTCCTGGAGGGCCTGGGACTGAACACGTGCAGCAGCAGCAGCAGCAGCAGTGGTCTTCCAGCTGCTGAATTACATACAGTAGTTAGTGATGTACAGTTAACGCATAGACAAGAACTCAAAAAAAGGGATAAGGGGCTAAGAACAGCTCCAAAGTTGGGGTTAGGGAGAAAGAGTAGGGGTGTGTGTGTGTGTGTGTGTGTGTAAAAGGAATTTCTGAAAATTAGCACAAAACTGAGCTTGGAATGTCTGAAAACCTGGGCAAAAGGGAAAGTGTGATGAGTCAAATGATTTTATCTGCGGTGGCTGAACGGAGCTGGGCAGTAGCAAAAGGCCTCAGTGCAGCATCTTCAGGTGCATGGTTTGCAGCTTCCATTTTCCTCCACAGTATTTTGCTTTGGTGACTCTGCTGCCGTGTGTTTGTCCGCTTCTTTGTGTCTCACAGCTCTGCTGTGTCACTTGGGATCGTAGTGCACTGTGCCAGCCAGCTCGAGAATAGCATTTATTGAATTTAGCGCCTGCTGTGTGCACAACACAAAAGGAGGTTTAGGAGGAAGGTTTATGAAAGAGAAGGTTCTTTCTTCTAGAGATGCTTTTACTCCAGCTAAAGGGGTGAGCACAACCCTTGTAAGGAACTCAAATCAAACTGTTTCCAAACAAATATACATGTACTACAAATTACCAATATACTTCCAGAAGGCTGCACAGGCAGAAGTCAGCCCTGGAAGAGTTTCCAGTGGAGCTAGGTTTTGATCCTGGATTTATGCCCAGGGTTCTGTACTGACCAAGACTGAAGGGTGTTCCAGAGCCAATCTGAGCTTGTCCAATCTCAGGGATTGAAATCTGACCAATTCCCACCCTGAAAATCTCCACCCTGGAAAACTCCACCCCTAAGAAGCCCTATATAAGTCCTGTACCTGCTCATTTTGCTGCTGCTTTTTTCCACCCTGGCAGGGGCCACCTGTCATCTGGATTCTTCCCTCCCAGTAAATCTCTTGAATGAGGTTTAGGGTAAAACCGTCTTTCCACAGAGAAGGAGCCTGGGCAGAGCAGAGCAAGACTGTAACACTTTCACAAGGGAAACTTTCCACTACACTCGGAGGGGGACCTGAGCAGAACTGTAACAACTTTGCTGGGGAAACCCTCCCCTGCTGGGGCAGAATTGTTACTTTTGGGAAACCTTTTCCTGGAGCAGGGCTATAAGCTGCTATACTTACAGTGACTTTGTGGTATTCCTTGGCTCTCGATTGCCAGAATATTTTTCCATCCGCGCTGCAACGCTTACACACATTCTACAAACTTTTTTGTTTTTGTTTTTTCGAGACAGAGTTTCTCCATTTAGCCCTGGCTGTCCTGGAACTCACTCTGTAGACCTGGCTGACCTCAAACTCACAGAGATCCTCCTGCGTCTGCCTCCCATGCCACCACCTCCTGACCCTACAAACATTGTTATTTTTAGGGAAAGGATAAAGATTTCTTTTGACTGACTGCATGGTATTTTATTTCATCAAATACAGATAGCGTTCTCCATTTGACAACAGACAATGAAAACCAAAATAATCCTTGATACCAGTTTCTAGGTCACACTGTCCATTAGCAGATAATCCTGCCCAATTGCTTAGGAACAGAAAGTTTCTTAACTCAGGTTGTGGAGACTAGAAAAAAAAAAGTGCAACTTGTGTCCAAACCAAGTGGGCTGGCTGTTCAAGCACAAGGAGGATAGGCAGAAACTGGTGGTAGGGGATGCTGGGAACCTTCAGCACTGGTTGGAGCAACTTAGAGTCAGGGATTGTAGGCTCGGGCAGGGAGGCGTGGCAGGGCCGGGCTCCAGGTTGCGCATGCGCGCATCCTCGACGCCACGCCCACCCCCGCCGCCCCTTCTGCGCCGGCGCGCCGCGCAGTCCCGCCCCTCCTTCCTGCGGCGCTCTAGGGACCATGGCCGATCCTCGCGTGAGGCAGATCAAGATCAAGACAGGCGTGGTGAAGCGGTAAGGAACGGGCCGCGGCGCCGCGGCCTGTGGCCGCTCTTCTCTCCTCACCGCCCGGGAGGTCCGGCGGAGGGTCGGCCCGAGGCAGGCGCGGCGCCCAGGCCTCGGCGGGCGGGCCGCGAGGGGCCGCGCTCCGTCTGGGCCGGCGCTGGCTGGGAGCCGCCCTCGGCGCTGGCCCGGCCGCCCTCCGTGCGGGGCTCGGGGCGAGCGCGGTGCTGGCCCGGCCGTCCTGTGTGCGGGGCTCGGAGCCGCCCTCGGCTCCCGCGGGCCGGGAGGAGGAGGAGGGTGGCCTGCGGCTGGAGGGCCTTGGCCTGCGGGCGCCGGGCGGCGGCTCGCTGAACTTGGCTGGGAGGAGGCGGAGCCCACCCTGGCCTGGCCTCGGGTGGACAGCGCTCAAGTTTAGGGGACGCTGCGAACGCGGGCCTCACCCAGCAGGGACGGTGGCGGAGCCCTGTGCTCTTCTGACGTGCCCGACTCCCAGACTTGGGGAACTGGGGCGTAAACTTGAGCACCTCTGCAAACTTCTTCCCTGGAGCTCGCCCCAGAGCTGTGGGATGCTGCCTCCCATGAGTAGGCCAGGCTTGTGATTTGCCTTTATTCCCGACTGCCGGTACATACTTGGGGGCTCGTTAGAACTATTTTTTTGTTTAGATCCAAGGTGATCCAACTGTGAAGCATTCCAAGAGAAAAGATGCACAGCCTCCTTACGAGGCAGGTCATTTTACAGTGGGAATAGCTTTTTCCTCTTGACCCATCTCTCTGCCGTTTATGATATTCCCATCAGAGGGAGGACAACCTGGGTAGGAAAATCACGTTTTGAGATACTGCCCCTGAGTTGTAGTACTTCACACAGTACTTTGGAAGCATTTATTACGAAGACAGCCAGGAGATGGTATGAGTGGTAGGAAAGTGCACAGCTGGCCCTGAATTGTGGCTGACCTCAAAGCTTTTGTTTGGTTTTGGTTTTTTTTGAGACAGGGTTTCTCTGTGTAGCCTTGGCTGTCCTGGATCTCGCTCGGTAGACCAGGCTGGCCCGGAACTCACAGAGATCCGCCTGTCTCTCTGCCTTCCAAGTGCTGGGATTAAAGGCAATGCACCACCACCGCCTGGCCCCACTTCAAATCTTGATTCTGTCATTGATTTATGTATTCTGGAACACATCACGTTGCACTGTGCCTCTTTTATTGAATTTGTAAGGTAGAGTCTAAATCCCCCTGCATTCAGTTATTGAAAAGAAATGTCTGCTATGCTGTTTGATACAGGATGTGGCAAGTAAATAGTGGCTGGTGTGATACACGATAAACGTTTTCTTGATCAGGAACGTGTTTAATGAAGTTTACAAAATCTAACTTGTATCTAAAGTCATACTTCAAGTTAGTAGCAGAGCAAGCAAACGAAAGAAGGTTTCTGATTACAACTGGGATGTTGTGGGTAGAGCATTAAAACTTGGGATAACGGAGGGGAGTATGAGGTATATAACCCAGAATACAAATAATCCACACCATCCCTCAGCCCACAGTTGTGCTCTCTTCAGCCAGGTGTGTGAGAGAATGCTTTGAAGTAGATATCATGGGAAATGGTTTGCAGTGTTTTCCCATTAATTGGTATGTCCCCGATAGTTGTCACCCCTGTGGTCTGTAGACTGTTCTATAAGTTTATTCAGTTTAAGTAGTTATAGCCTTACAATACATATGCTAGAGAAATGTCATTTAAGTAGGAACTAAGGTGTGGGGCTTTCCCAGATTCTCAGATGCTTACATAAACTGCCTGGAAGTAGGTGGAGTTTGGTTTGCAGTCTAACAGGGCATTACCAAAGTTTAATTTGGGTATTCATATTTCAGTGAATTTTCATGAAACTTTTTCATAATTTACCATAATCTCAAATCACTTATATAAGTTAATGAACATGTGTATCATATGGTTTCTGTCATGGCTCTTCTGTTGACATTTTGGTATAGCATTTCCTCTTACATACTGTGAAACTAAGACATGTACTTTTAAACTTAAAATTTGTATTTCACCTGTTGATTGCTCATTTTGGCTTGCTGAATACAGTCTACACCCATAAATATTACTTCCTTATTTTTCCTAAGAACTTATTTTGCTGTGATTCTGTCCTGTGTTAATATACTAAGGTGGAATTCTACATTTTACCTCACCCAAAGGGGAGTATGGATGAGGCAGACATTAATCGTTGGAGAAGAATGATCATAGACCTTCTGTATATGTTTACCTTTTTATAATAAAAAAGCACTTAAAAGAGAAGCTGCTTTTCCCTTCTTCAAATTTAGTTTCAAAGACTTCTTAATCAGCTTCATGATTCAAGAATGTTCTTGGTTTTGTGAAAAGGATTTCTGCTCATTAGGTTTGTTGTATTTTTTTAATTGCATTTATTTATTTACTCTGTGTATGGAAGGGGGCATTTGTGCTATGGCACAGGTGTGAAGATCATAGAACACTTTTCAGGAGTCTGCTCTCTCTTTCTACCATGTGGGGTCAAACTCAGATTGTTAGGCTTGACAGCAAGCACCTCTTACCTGCTGAGACATCCCATCCATCCTGGACAGACTCTTTTTAAAGATTAGTCTCAAACCAGCTTCTATTCTCAACCCTTGTAGCCAGTTGTCCATTTTCTGTAATTCCATTTCACTTCAGAAGTCATAAACTTTATCGGAAGAAGTGGTGTAAGGTCACCATCCATAACCCAGTTCGTTTTGTTTTTCCTTTCAAACTTGAGAGCCACTAGAATTTGTATTCTAGGTTTCTGTCCTAGAGTTCATTTTGGATGGATTATATTGTGAAGTTTAATAAAATCTGCTGCAGCACTTGTGATTCAGAAGTCCCCAATGTGGGGATTTAGGAGGAAATCTGGACAGAAGGATTAAGAGTTAAGGGAGTATGGAAACAGGTAGTTAATAGATGGTGGTTGGCATCAAGGAGATAATGCAGTGGTACAAGATGGCCACCTGATCATGATGGCAAATGGTGGAAGCAGTCTAGTGGGTGAGACCCAGCCTGTCGTTAAGTGGAAGTAGAAGTAAGTTTCATTGATAGTGCTTTAGCTGGTGTCTTAGTCACTGTTGCTGTGAAGAGACACCATGACCAAGGCAACTTAGAAAAGAAAGCATTTAACTGGGGCTTTGTTTACAGTTTCAGAGGTGCATCTGTGACCATCCTGGTGGGAACATGGCAGCAGGTAGATGGGAATGGTGCTAGAGTAGTAGCCGAAGGCTTAAATCTTATTCTCAAGTTGAAGTCAGAGAGAGCCAGAGATTGGGCCTGTTATGGGCTGTAAAACCTCAAAGCCTACCCCGAGTGACATATCCCCTCATACAAGGCCCCAAATCGCTCCACTGATTAGGGACCAAACATTCAGATATGTACACCTATGGGGACCATTCTCATTCAAACCAACACATGTGGAAAATAATAAGAGCTTCATGATGCCCTCCTTCCAGAGAAATGTTACCTAAACAATAACAAGTTAGAGGAGAGAATAAGTCACTAGGAACAGGAAAGAGTCTGTTTACTAAGACTGTTGGACAGCAGTGAGGCTGACCTGGTACTGAGCCTCTGATGAAGAAGAGGCCTTAAATACACCTCCTCAGTTGCAAGATTTTTCTCTTTTTAGGATTAATTCAGGCTGTGGAAATAGACATGCACAATATATAGGGGCAATTAAATGAAATTTTTCTGAGCAATCAACTTTGTTAACATGTGACTCAGTACAGATTGACCATCCCTAACTGGAAAATCTGAAATTCAGAATATTTAGAAATCCAAAACTTTTTGAGTGCTGATGTGACATTGAACATGTTCAGATTTTGGATTACTTTGATTTTGGAGTTACGGACATTCACCTGGTAAAATTTATACAAACATTCCAAAATCTGAAAAAACTCTGAAATTTGAAACATACTTGGTCCCAAGCATTTCAGTTAAGTGATACATGGACAATAGTGGACATTGTTGGTAGATTTGATCTGTGTATTACTTTTTTGTTGTTGTGATAAATACCACTACCAAAAGTAATTTAAATAGGACAGGGTTTATTTCATCTTTAACCTCTAGGTAACAGGCCGACACTAAGGGAAGCCAAGGCAGGAACTCAGGCAGGAACCTGGAGGCAGGAACTGAAGCAGAGACCATGGAAGAGGACTGCTTACCACTGTGCTTTCCAGGGCTTATGCAATCTGCTCTCATATTCAGCCCAGGACCACCTCTCCAGAGGTAGTACTGCCCAGGGCTTGGTGTTCTCATATCAATCATTAATCAAGAAAGTGCCAGTAGGTCAATCTGATGGAGACAATTCCTTAGCTGAGTGTCCCTCTTTGTAGTGACTTTAATGTATCAAGTTAATAAACTAACTAGCACAGTCTGGCTGGCTCTTTTTAAAAGATTTAGATTTTTTTTTCCCCTCAGATTACTAGATTTACAGTTATCTGTGTATGTCACAGCTAGTCTGGCTACTCTTGTAGGAAATGACCAAATACTATTCCTAATTTTCTTCCTCAGTACAGATCTGTGACATTACTGTCATCTATCTGGTTCTGTCCATTGATGTTTAAGTGGCATCAACTGTCCTGATTTTCTTGGACTGGAGTTTCCTAGGATGTGGAGCATTCTCTGTTAAAACTGGAGACATCCAGGTAAACTAAGATGATTGATCATCTGTGCACCTAGCTCCTGGATCTCTATTTTGTCTATGCTATAATGTATTTGGAGGCTGTTGGTGGTACACCTATATGCTGTCAACCTCTATACATCAGGCCTTACTTAATTTAAAATGTGTGACATAAATACAAATCCTTGCCATAGTAGCTTTTTTTTCTGTACTAGTTATTTAGAAAATATTTTCACTAAAGTGGAGGAAAATTTGGACTTATTTTCTTGACTCTGTGTGTCAAGATGTGGTATTTTAGCTAAGTGATTTTTGTCTACTCTACATTTCCAAGTGGGATATGTGTTTATAAAATAAGTTTGTTACTAGACATGTGGTA